CCCCCATTATGCTGACGCGCTCCGTGCTGTAGCCGAACTCTTGGGCCAGAGTCGCATCCATCAAGGACACGTACGCAGATGCAAAATCGTCAGCGAAAGAAGGGAACTTGCTTTCTGGGGCCAGCCTGTACTCCACAGATGCCCAGCAAAACGGACCGATCTTGGCCTCGGAACAGAAAAAAGAAGAAGCAAAATCCAGGTTGAGTCTTGCCCCACCAGAGTAGCAACTTCACTTGAAGCAGACGTGTCGGCAGCCGGCATGTTGTTTTTTGTGAGCGTTCACGCAAACAGTATGGGGTATGGAGAATTTGTGTTCTTCTGTAAACCTTGAACAGGCTTCCAAAAAGCAGTCCGGACGTTTCTGTTAAGCCGACGAGGCGCTGCCAGCTCTTTCATGAATGAGCTGCCCCAGGCATCGTGCCGGTCCCCCAGCGTCATGCATCCTGATGGTCGGGGAAGGGTTTGACATATCTTCTGCCGTTTCTGTTTTATACTTCTACTTTACTTGCCTGCGCGTCGTTGACAAAGCCTTTCCTGTGGCTTTCGAGATCGATGCTATTCTTGTGGCACTTGCGTCGTCAAGTGGCATCGTGGCCTTTTCATTGCCCACGGCAGCCTGTGATTAACTCGACAGCCTGCACTCAACTCCCCTTCGGTATCTTTTGGACAGCAAGCCAGTTTGTACCCCTTCCAGTTCTCCAGTTCAGTGACGCAGCAAAACGAGTCTATGGTAGTGAGGTAGTGCTGCTGCTTGGGCTTTGACAGGCTTCAAACACGATCTCCCAATGTGCGTGCACATGACTGCCAGACTGACTAATTCTTTCTTTTTTTCCGCTGTGTGGAACAATTGCTACTCTCTCTCTCTCTCTCTCCCCCTCCCTCATCCTTTTCCGCAACGCTAACACAACAAGGGCATGAACCATAGCGCGAAACACTTAAAACCGAAAGCCCGAGAGGTCCTGGTGGAGCCAGGAGTGCTCACCAAATTGCGTTCGTTCACGTTCGAGTGTCGGCGTCAAAACCGTTCTCCCTGCGTAGACTGTAATTAATGCTGAGTATCATCACAAACGACAACGAACTGGTCCGGGCATTGGCGACTTCGGTTATCCAAAATCACGTCTGCGAAGGCCCAGAGCGCAGGCTGGAACAAATTCTTTGTCGTGCTGTTTCTTTTCGTCTCGAGTATGTCCCGGAACACTTAACGCAACAAACGATGGAATCAACATGCCTGCATGATGGGGGAGTCTCTCTGTCTGTCTGTTGCCCAAATTCAGGGCAAAAAGGCGAAATCAATCGCTGTCCATACTACAAGTAACGTCTCCTTCTGATTGTAATTCTGGTATAGTTTCGGGACTCCGACGGGACTTCGGACTTCGGGTCTCCAACAGAAAAACACGGCAAACTCTAAGCACATCTAGACGAAGATGTTCAAGAAGACGCGCCTCCATGTGCCCAGACGATCAAAGGCACATCCTCACCCGCAGCTCTCTGCAGGGGCGTGTGAAGACAAACTTGCACCGGGCCACCATCTCCGTGACGACGAGGTAAAGCTCTTTCCTCGGGTTTCCAGATGCCCTGCACGTTCGCCGAGTAGGAGGAGCTCATCTTCGTGTGCGCCCTGCGGCATTCTGAAAGAAGTTCCAGGCGTGCTTCCTCCGTTTTGCCAGTGCATGCTTTCTCCAGTGGCAAGAAGCACCCCAGCAAGATGTTCACCATTTTGTCAATAACATGCCTGCAGTAGTCGAATGGAAAACCAGCAGCTGCACAACAAAAAATAACATTGAACAAACCCCATCTTAACACCGACAGGGTGCAGCTTGGCATGTGCGTGGCAGCAACTTTGCGTGACCACGTTGCCCATGGCAGGCGGCCAGTCTACACGTGGCTGATGCTACCTTTCACTAGCCTGGCAGAGCCTCAAGCACATGCTTGAACCTGTGTTTGCGAGTGGAATGGGAAGCTCTTTGGTGAGACAGAGGAACCTCTTTCCAGCAGCACGGGGGAATTCAGGATAGTCTTGAATCGAACGGGAACCCTGGGAACCGAATCGTATGGAAAGGAACCGCCAGGAACAAAAATGTACAAACGAACCGAACGTATTGTTGGCCAATAAACAAACGGATTGAATCAAGGGATCTAATCGTTTGCCGGATGACCACGGAGCCGAACCGCGAGCCAGACGGGATACGAACCGAACCGGCAAGGGTTCCGTTGCTGAAGCCCGTTTTGACTCTACATGATCCCCCCCATAACGCAGGATGGTGAGGAAGTCATCGTTGTCGGCGTAGGCCTGGCACATCGTGAAAGGTTCAGCATCTGCAGAGCCACGAGGCGTGTTGCACGTGTCCCAAGGGGCTCATTAATGAATTGGTCTCATGGACCCCCAGCCGGGAAATACAGAATTCGGAGGTTTCAGGCCTCTTTTGACGACCTTATTTTGGAGGGACGGCAGTGCGATTTGCCCTCATACGCGCCCTTTGACCTGAATTCTGTATTTCCCTGGTTGCTAAACCCTAAACCCTCACTTAAACTATAGCGGTAGCGCAAACGATGCGGAACGACAGCGGGGGCAGGCAAAAGGCCTGCCCCCGCTGGCCAAAACCTGACGAGGCGGGCGAACGCAGGGTTTAGTTTTTGTTTCTTCGCCTGGTTTAGGAGTTTTTTGCCGCCCGCATAGCTGAACTGCACATCCACAGGATTTAGGGCTAAGGGTTGAGACGCCGCTCAATCAAAACCGTAAACCCGAAACCCTATACTTCCTCTCTCCTGGATGCTGCTAAACTCCAAACCCTGTAAGAACCCCAAATGTGAGCATGTAGGCTTATGCACCCTAAACCTTAAACCCGAAAAAGTAAAAACAAAACACGCGAAAAACATAACTAAACCAACAAAAACTGATTGAGGGGTAGGGTCCTCCCATTCAGCCCTTTCAAGCCCTCAACATCCCTCAACCACCCAAACCATGGCCCGGCCTTCGCTGACACTTTGCTGTCGACCACAGCCGTCGGATGTCCGCTCGGATTTGGTTTGGGTTAGCGGCTGACAGTTTTCCAAGTCTGGCCCTGGAATTTTTGTTTTCTAGGGTGCTTAGTTCATGGAGGTATCTAATCTACAGAGTTTATCTCGGTTTAGGCTTCAAGCTTGTAGGAACCACAACACGAATCGAATGGAATCGCATGAAATCTACCCAGGAAACGACTCGTTCTTCGATTGCATACTTTTCATGATTTTAATGGAATCGCCAGCCCCTGCGATTAAATCGCATCAATCCTGGGAATTACAAGATGTTTCAAGCGGGCTTTCCGCGTTTGCTGCCACAGCTGCGCGCTGTACACGGCAGTAGCTCGACGGGTGAGACATGCAACCCTACTCTGAAGCAAGCATGCCTTGGCATCGGCATCCAAACAGAAACTGCATTGTTCTACTGATTAATGTTGTACCTGCTTTAGTGGGGGTCCCTCTTTAGAGTCAAGTTGATTCCGGACACCCTGGCTGTGTGGGGGTCTAGAGTGGGACCCTCTTTAAAGTCAAATGGCCCCTGGATCCGGAATTTCTTCCTCAGAATTTAGGGTTTGTTTTTGAAGCCCCTGAATCTTAAAGGCAAGCCTTCTTTCCAAGACCCCGACGAAAACCCGAAATCCCAGCTGGCACGAAATCGAGACCGCGCCGTTAGGCATGGGGTGGAGGGGTTAGTCGGGGGGGGGGGAGAATTACAACCCCCCCCCCCCCTCATACTCCCTGAAGGATTGACCCCCCCCCCAATTCTCCCGAAAGACAAACCCCCCCCCCCCCCTCATAACCCCCCCGCTCTTTGACTACGTCAGAAAGGATTTTGTTCTCATTTGGATTGTACTCTAATTCTCTATCAGTTCTCTACTTCTCTAATTTTCGAGGAATGAATACAAGAAATAGAAACAAGAAACGGGGGGGGGGGTGGAATTTAGACGAATTCTCTACTTCTCTACTCATTCTATTTCAGCAAACCGACAGTGTAGGACTATAGGGCAATCTGAGCAAATAGGGGGGGTTGATACGTCCGAAAGACTTTGTTGTCATCTGGATTGTACTTTAATTCTCTATCAATTCTCTACTTCTCAAATGTTCGAAGAATGAATACAAGAAACAAAAACAAGAAACGAGGGGGGTGGAATTTAGACAAATTCTCTACTTCTCTACTCATTCTATCCCAGCAGACCGACAGTGTAGGACCATAGGGCAATCTGAGCAAATGGGGGGGGCTGCGCCCCCCCCCAACCCCCCCGCTTTTTGATTACGTCAGAAAGGACTTTGTTGTCATTTGGATCATACTCTAATTCTCTATGAATTCTCCGCTTCTCTAATCTTCGAGGAATGAAGACAAGAAACAAAGAAACGGGGGGGTGGAATTTACACTAATGCTCTACTTCTCTACTCATTCCAGCAGACCGACAGTGTAGGACTATAGGGCAATCTGAGCAAATGGGGGGGGCTGCGCCCCCCCCCAACCCCCCCGCTTTTTGACCGACTACGACTACGACTACTGCTACTACTACTACTACTACTACTCCTACTACTACTACTACTACTACTACTACTACTACTCCTCCTCCTACTACTACTACTACTACTACTACTACTACTACTACTACTACTACTACTACTACTACTGCTACTGCTACTGCTACTGCTACTGCTACTGCTACTACTACTACTACTACTACTACTACTACTACTACTACTACTACTACTACTACTACTACTACTACTACTACTACTACTACTACTACTACTACTACTACTACTACTACTACTACTACTACTACTACTACTACTACTACTACTACTACTACTACTACTACTACTACTACTACTACTACTACTACTACTACTACTAACTACTAGTACTACTACTACTCTACTACTACTACTACTACTACTACTACTACTAAACTACTACTACTAACTACTACTACTACTCTACTACTACTACTACTACTACTACTACTACTACTACTACTACTACTACTACTACTACTACTACTACTACTATACTACTACTACTACTACTACTACTACTACTACTACTACTACTACTACTACTACTACTACTACTACTACTACTACTACTACTACTACTACTACTACTACTACTACTACTACTACTTACTACTACTACTACTACTACTACTACTACTACTACTACTACTACTACTACTACTACTACTACTACTACTACTACTACTACTACTACTACTACTACTACTACTACTACTACTACTACTACTACTACTACTGCTACTGCTACTGCTACTGCTACTGCTACTACTACTACTACTACTGCTACTGCACTGCTACTGCTACTGCTACTGCTACTTCTAGCTACTGCTACTGCTGCTGCTACACCTGGGGGGGGGGGAAGAAGACTGACAACCCCCCCCCCCCCCCTTAATACCCGGGGAAGACCCCACCCCCCCCCCCCCCCCCTCATACTCCCGGAAAAACAACCCCCCCCCCCCCTATAATCCCGCAAGCAACCCCCACCCCCCCCCCCTCATACTCCCGAAAAAGACAACCCCCTCATACTCCCGGAAACCAACCCCCCCCCCTCATACTCCCGGAAGACCACCCCGCTAACGGCGCTACCTGACGAAATCAAGACTTCCCTTTCAAAACCATACTGGAAAAAATTGTCTCCATCAATCGTCAAAGGGGTGGTCTAGGAGCCAGCCTAACCTCGAATAATGGGCACTGTTTCGGGACATGCGTTGTGTCCTGGCCCCAGGCCTTAAAGGCAGGCCTCCTTTCCAAGATCCCGAAAACCCGGATTCCCAACAGAGCCGAAACCAAGAATTCCCCTTTAAAAACATATTTATAAAAAAGACTCTTGATCAATCCGGCAAAGGGGTGGTCCAGGAGCCAGCCCAACCTCGAACAATAGGCTGGATCCGTTTTAAGTTCGTAAACTCACCCCTTTTAAAATCACAATCGTTTAAAGAGGGCGTCGACTGTTCAGGGGAAGGGAGGGGCCCCACACACTAAAGCAGGTGCAACATTACGCAGGCAGCCTGCCTGGACGAAAGCTTACCAACTGCTGCATGGGTGCATATGGGTGCTATGGTACGCGCTCATTAGGCTGGGGAGTCGCCTTGTTCCGATTGGTGATTGTCGCCGTCCTCCTTGAGCTTCACTCGCCGAAGTCTACCCACCAAGCTCATGTCTCGTGGCATAAGGGTGACGCGCTTGTTGTGCACGGCACAGAGGTTACCGTCCTCTCAATCTAACAGTCCAAGAAGTTAACTTCGCTACATGTTGAAATGGTCATGGGTGATGAGCTACTCTGGGTTCGGGCAAAGGTTGGGTGCGGAGGTTTCTGGGCAATACTGACGGTCAGCCCTTCGAAATTGAAAACTGTGGGGAACTGTTGGTAATGCCTCGACAACTCAGGTTCTCCATCGTGTAGCACATTGAAAACATTTCAGCACCGTGTCCCTGCCCAAAGTTCTGGAAACGTGCGTTCACGAGAATGCAACCGCAATGTGAACGAATGTCTTGCAACCCAAGTGTGCTCAGTGCTAAGCTTTGTCAAACAAGCATTGCCTTTTGCTTGCGTGCCTCTCAACATCCCGTCCGATCCTCGAGGATGCCAACCAAGTACATCTCTGCAGCCTCTTGTCGAGCAGATTTTTTCATGTGAGGAGGTGAACGTGTAGCAGTGAAAGCAATCCGTTGCCTCATGAAGGGCCAACAGGGCCGTCGTCTCCATGCGAATTCCCACACGACTCCTACCCAAGGACTTGTGTTTGAAGAGGGGAGAACTATGGCTTCCTGGTTGAGGAAGCGAGATCGGTATCAAACGATTGTGAACCGTTTTGCGTGTTAACA